CAAGAATGCAAACCCTGATTAGATGGGGTACAAATGTAGCAATTAAGACGCTATTAAGACTCGGCCCGACTATTCTTGCACGCATATAATGCATGCATACGAGAGGGGAATTTCCCCGTCGATGGAAGCAGCAACAGCTAGTCTTCTTCGAAGGGCGATAAGGCACCTACTGATCCGGAGCAGCTATCGGCCAATATGCTTACTGGACACAGCAGGCAAAGGTTGGAGCGGGATTATCTGCAATCGTATTGAGTCATTACAGAGGGCCTCAAGATTGTGTGATAATCAGTACGGCTTTAGAAAAGCGAGATCCACGGTAGATGCTATTAAGGCAGTCATCGACATCGCACGCAGGCATTGAAGCAAACGATGAAAGGCGTCCTATTATGTATTGTGCTATAGTGACCCTAGACGTGAAAAACGCTCTAACACTGCAAGGTGGAGCGCCCATTCTTTCTGCGCTACAAACTCTTGGAGTTCCAAGGTACACTCGAACTTGGTAAAAAGTTACTTTAAGAGAGAGTCCTCCTATATGAAACTGTGTCTGGAGTACAATCTTATACGGTCACAGGCGGTGTCCACAAGGTTCGTACTTGGTCGATGTTGTGGAACATTATGTATGACGCGTGTTGAAGCTCGAGTTCCGCGAAGGCGCAAGAACGATTGGATTCGCTGACGATTTGCAATTGTCGTTGTCGGCAAATACACGAGCAAGTCACGCAGGTTGCCAACGAGGCTGTGCGGAGATCGGCGGTGGCTTACGTCGGTAGGGCTACAGGATGGCCGCCCATAAAACAGAGGCTGTGCGCGTGAACGCGCAGTAAATACCAACCAAACTGGTATAATACAATACGATAAAGATAGAGAGGTTTGAGGCGTCTTGGACATCACTTAGTATCACCCAATATACTAGGCAACGTGACGTATATGGGACAAGCCCAAATTTATGTCTCCTGATGATAGTAGCCAACTGGACGATGACATTCAGCGAGTCCATACCTCGAATCATACGTGATACAGAAATGAGCTAGAAATTAGAGAACTCTTAGATCTAATCTTGCAGATATGCTGAGCATCGAGTTGCACTCGATTAGTTACCGACAGTTATCAGCTCGATTACCTGACTACTAGTAACTATGCTCGACTATGGACGCTCAAGAGTGTTTCCTGACATGAAGATGCACACGATGTTCTTATCAATTTGTCCAACGTCTTCGCAGTTGTGACAGGCCAAGAACTTCACAGACTCCTCCAAGATGGAAGTTGACCCCTAGATATCCATTCGTAGCACCTCGGATGCCTGCTGACACAAGAAGTATGTGAGTCGGTTACCCACACTATCCAAATGGTCCTATGTAAGACGCTCCGCTCTCGAGGGAGCAATTACGAAGAAGACTCCCGTTAATATATTTCGTGACTACCGAAAAGTCCATCCTTCCATATTCTCGCGATGCACAATAGCCATCGAGACACGGCCCTTCCGCAGACCTATACCGGAATAGGTCAAGAAAGGAGGGGCATTTAGTGGGTAACTGAGGCTAGCTATGAATTCACACACCAGACTGCGCGGATAGCGTGGTCCCTCTGTGTCTTTAGAAGATTATTCCCCTGCCACGTGAAAATCACACACACCTCTCTTTGAGGTATCAGTATAGATAATGCAATTAGCCTGTCTGCAGCAGACATCGTGGCTTAGACGAATTGGAGAAAAAGAAAAAAAAAAAAAAAAAAAAAAACTGGTCAAAACTTGCCTCCTCACCATTTCAAGTTTTAAATATAGAATGTACTAACATTGTTAAATCTTACGTAGTTGCTAACCGAATTGATATGTATTGTTTTAATATTATTAGTAGCATTAAAATGAAAATAACATCTTGAAATATTAAATTATCTGCTACCAAAAATAATTATCTACTGAATATCGTAATTTATCTGCAGCAAGTATTGTAGTATAATCCCTAGGCCAATGACCCCATCTCAATCAGGTTTTTTCAGTTTCCTTGCTCCTGAACAGTGATGTAACTTAGCTCTCTCCACGCAAGACATATTGGCTTGTCATACACGACTGTAATTGTATATGTGACTCAATAAATATTATTATTATCACACACACATATTTCGAATTCCTTCCGTTTTCCTGAGTAATAGGGTTTATTTCTCCAGGTTTCTTCAGTTTGCATTCTTTAAATGTTTTTGTGAAATTTTCTCCTCTAACATTCTCTTGTTGATTATTTGCATTTCTGTCTATGCATGTGTCCGAGTATTGCCCTACATTGTTTGTCTGTTCTCCCCTTAATTATTCCCACTGGAACCATTTTTCCTGTTTTCCACATCAAATGTTTGGTCAAATCGACTTAACCATTCTACCTTCATCTTCTATCTTCAGAAGTTTATGGCATATAATTCCACAGCAAATTTTGAATATTGGCTGGGAGTAGTCGAACAGTACATAATTTCCTGCATGTCTAATTTATCGTCGCATGCTTTAAATCCAGCGATTTTCCATGTTGCAAATTCGCACATAGATTCTCTCCGCCTTTCGGAATCTTTGCCCCATTAACTAATATTTCAATTAGAATTTATGATCCTCGTTCCAATACTTTTTCAAGAATTTTGATTCCCATTCACCAAACGTTGTGGGACTAGGAATGAAAGAATTCTACCAATGGCATGCTCTTGATGCCATTCCTTACTTTGTATAATATAGCTTCAATCTACCAGGAATGTTATTGATAGCTTTCAATTTTGGACAGAAATGAATATGGTTGTTCGTTGTCACCATCAAATTTCAAACTTTTCGGCAAGTTTCCTGACAGTGGACAATTTTTTGTTTCCATTAGCGTGTGCTCTTTCTCCAAGTCTATTTTCTTTCTTTTTAATTCCCCTGCCTATCTTTCAAAATAGTTATTGGCAGATTCTTTTACCGACTGAATTTCCTCCTAGATCTTTCTTTCAATTAAATCATCGGCATTATTATATTTAGCTTCTACATCTTTTAATCTATTATTTTGCTGACGCGAAGCTTCATGTAATTGACAAACTTCCTTGGCAACGCTGTTCAATTGTTCCTTTTGTTGCAAATCATTCCTTTGTGTAATAAAGATTTCACAATTAATCTTTTAAAATAAATCGTAGTGTTCTTTTTAAGTATTTTCCTTAAAAGTTTTGCTAATTTGTATTCCCTTATCAGCGCGCATTTGTGCAATTTCTCCGCCAATTTGCCGTACATTCTCTTGCTTCGTAATTTGCAATTCGCAAGAGAATGTATCTCCTAATTGCATAAATTTCTTATTAAATCATTTTTCATATGTGTTTGATCTTGCTCTCTTATTTTACTAAAATATACAGTAATTCTAAAAAGAATAAAAGTATAGTTGGATTTGTGACGAATGTACCGCAGACCATTTCAAAATAATTATAATACTAATACATTTAATAAAAATGTAACCTACTTTACTGAAATTTACTAATAATTTTATTTTATTTCATTAATGCTTGAACAATAGAGCAGATAGTCAAATATACAATTTTACAAATTAAAAATTGTAAATAAAATATTAATTACTCACCAAGTTGAATACAATTTTTCAACAAAAATTTCAATAATTTTACAATCAGTACACATACTTATGAGCACTAAAATCAGTTTGAAAGTGCATTCATATATATGATTAAGTTCATATGAATTGGATGACTGACGATAGATTAATACAACTTTCTTTAAATAGTCAAAGCATCGATCATGGAATTCCCTAAAGGGACTTATCCATACTGTAATATAATTTGCACGTGTTATTATTCAATATTGAACACTATTTTTTATACAATAGAAGTTATAATATTAGTCATAAACCATCTAAGCACAAAATAAATATGGGCCAGTAAATAAATACAAACTTCATATAAGCCAGAACAGACTTGCTAGTCACTATAATGAGCAAGAAGTCATTATTATACATTCATTTAAAGAAGTCGTCACAGAATAAGTAATAAAAGATTCTGTGTACCATTTCAATCAGAACAAATCATAGGTGCAACAAAAATATAAAATGAAATGACTCAAATTTTAACAAGATATTATTAATTGTGAAATTTTGTCACTCCAACTACGCTATCATACTGACCTTTCGCACAAAAATTATTAATAACTTCAAAACATTAAACATGGACCTATATAGAGATCCATTTCTGATGAACAGATTTCATTATGAAGAAGTTCATCCTCATAACAGTAGTTGTAGAAAGACTACGAAAAAAGTTTCAACTTCTGCAATGCTCGAAAAATCTGGGATTTCAATGACGAGACATGCACCATTCTCTTTTTGTGTTCTTTACACAAAATTTTATCAAAGTATTTGGTGCCATTGGAAATGTCACAGGGGTTTCATGTTAAGTATTCCGTAAAATTAAAATATTGGTTTAAAATTCAAGGGGTCTCAACGTCAGCCAGATCAAATGGGGAATATCAATTTTGGAAAAAATTGGCTGTACGGTTTAGCAGCTAGCATTGTTCACAGAAAGTCAGATAGGATATTTCGCTGTCATTTGATTTTGCAGAATCAAAGACCCACAAAACGGATTCTGGCAACGAGAGAGAGAGAGAGAGAAAGAAAGAGAGAAAGAGAGAGAAAGAGAGAGAGAGAGAGAAAGAGAGAGAGAAAGAGAGAGAGAGAAAGAGAGAGAGAGAAAGAGAAAGAGAAAGAGAAAGAGAGAGAGAGAGAGAGAGAGAGGAGAGGGGGGGATTCCCCCCCTCACACACACTAAATTTAGCAACTGCATTTATCCAATTTTTCATTACCAAAACCTTGTAATACGAGTTCTGTCGAAAATTCACTGCATTTTAGCATGGCATTACAGAACTTTCTCTGTAATCTGTACCGAGAAAGTAAAACTTATTAAATTAAAAATTTTATGGATGGAAGACTCATTACAGGGCTCCATGAGCATGTCCATTGCAAGTGTATCTGGTCAAAGATTAAGTATGAAATGAAACTCAGAAATGGAAAAAAAATACATTTTATTCAACAATGTTAATAAAATAAAATTCTGAAATTGTAGGTTTCCTTAACATTAATTTCTCTGCAAAGTGCATAAACATTACAAAGATGTTTCATGGACTGGTGCTAAATGAGATTTCATTCCTACCTCATTTGATGGAATACTATCAACTGCTAAAAACCTTTTAGCATTATTAATATTTGGTTCATTGTTGCAATCAATAATACTGCTGCAATCTTGTGTACATAAATTTTCCTGAAGTTCAGGCGATTCTTTAAATTTTTCTCCACTACTAAGAGACTGACTTGAGCAACTAGGTTCATTTCCATCAAGACAATACAATAATGAATCGCTAAGAGCATCAGTACTCAAACACCTTTCATGTGAGAGAGAGGTGTCAAAATCTCCAGTTCTACTAGAAAAGCTCAAGTCTACAGGACTTGCCGTTAAGACACTCCTACTCATTAAATACGATTTAAAGGTGCTAGTTAATGAGTCACCACTTCCACAGCAATTAGCATGTGATATATTTTGGCAGACATCTTCATTCACAATACTTGAGTGTGAACTAGAAGTGTCATGGGAAGATACACTTTTGGTTGAAAGTACATTAATACTGCGAACAGCTTTTTCATCTAAAGGATTCTCTCTTACTTTGTCTAATATGCCTTTCTCTTTATAATGATTTTCCCACAAATTTGCTGCGTGTTTCTGCCATGTAGCAACATTGCTTAAATGGCAAATGTTAGATCCTGAGAGAACAACAACAGGTTTTCTACTTCGTGGTGTCATCATTGTCTCCTGAAATCCAAACAAGAATTTTATTACATGACAAATAAAATGAAACTTCTATACGGATATAATTAACTCACTGAAAAGGAAAAAAGAAAATGAAGCAAGAATTAATATAGTTTCCAAAGCATATTAAAGAAATTCTTATAAATTTTGATAAATATATTTTTGTTTGTATATTATTGAATCAATTACTCTATCTGAAAAAATTAGGGTCTTCTCAATATTTACTTGATATTTTTGACACAAAAAGAACGTTAAAAATGTAAATGTTCAACTTTATCAACTTTCCTTACAGTGTTTACTTTGATACAAAATGAAATAAAAAATAATTACACAAGTGCAACGAATAATACAAATCATGCATATTTCTACTTTACTTAATATTTACAAATATTTCCAGTTTCCAATTACAGAAACATCTGATTCCTTCTATTCTCCAATAGAAGAAACAAAAGCTAGGCAAACATTTAGTTAAGGCAAATGTACTGACTTACACTTCAATTGTAAAGACATTCAACAGTAAGGCCAATTTTTCAACTACAAATCACTAACCAATTTTATAATGATGTTATAATCTACAGGAACTGATACGTGTGTCTAAGGTTTATTTTTTAACTAGTAATGATGTCAAATGAGAAATGTTCTCCTAAAACCTACCTGATATTTTATTATTATAAAGGACTAAAAAATTGTAAATGATAAGCAATTTGGCTGCTGGCCTAAAAATGTATTTTATTGAAGATTCTTTTAAAGTTTAATAGAACAAGCAGTTTGGAAAAAATGTCAGCTACACCCTTTAAAACCATTGATTCAATTATATTTTGACATATCTTAGAATTTCTAAATTGTTTTTTGAAGAACAGGGCTCATCAGAAAGACAGATCAGGAGCAATGAACTACCAATAGCAACCAGTGTCGAAGGCAAAAGCAATCTAAAGAGTGTGAAAAGTTCCAGGTATTTAAGGGTAGAGGCGAAGGGTTGGATGACTGAGTTTCACACGAGTCATCATTGTGAAATTTGCGCGTATATCATGGAAGACAAAGCAAGCAGTTCTTGCCCTAATAATCCAGAGGTGTTTAAAAGTTGACTGAATTTTATTTCCTAAACCTGAAGGTGATGTGTTTGTTTAATCCTAAAAAATTGTGTTAAAAAGTTAATACAAAGAGATATTACCTGCTTCATCACACAGCAGAGTACAAGTACATCGATAAACATGCCGCAATTTTTGATAGTTTACAAAACAAACTCATCAGGTAGTATTTTATTTTTCTTATTTGTACATCAGGATTTAATGCATTATTAGCAAGTTATGAAATGTTCTAATACTATAGTGTTGCTTATGATTATCTTAAACGATGAATTAATACTGCAAGGAATCACCACCAAGACTAATTACAGAATCATTATGCAACTTGTACTTTTGGTAGTTCTATACTCGCATCTATGAATTTGACATTTAAATATCTTGTAGCCCTCCCGCTGGGTCTCAACCACTCACAGATACGTCAGAACCAACTGACCTTGTCTATAGGGAGAATGTCTGTGATGAGCCCTGGAGTGGTACATAATGCATAATCCTTTTGCAGTAAAAGGGATACAGACATGTAGCAGTAATCAGAGCTATGCTTATCTGAAATGGCCTGATGTGAGCCAAGTCACCAAATAACGACAATACTCTTGATGGATAGGCAACACTGCAACGAAGGTCACTTGAACAGAGGTTGGTGCCAGTGACAATCTGTCTACTACATTATTGTGATCCAATCATGCTCATGTTTGTACGCATCTGTAATTTAACAGTATCTACACATTAAAATGTGTCTTCGTGATACACTGCAGTTGAAAATTCTGTTATGTATTTTCCTTTTTTTGTGTAATCCAAGATATCCCTGATTACCTCAGATTATCATAACTCTACTGTTGTTGTTTTAAAATAACCATTTATAATATAATTTTGGTTTTTTGCCTTGGATGTTGATCTAAAAGTTTGGTTTTACTGAAGCCCCTAACCTTAGTTAGTTCTCATCATATTAAGTAACATTTATCACCCTTTTACAGAAACTGCAAATGGTTATGCATTAAGGTAAATAGTTTGATTTCCTCTTCAACTTCTTGTTGCTATTTTAGGCAGAATAAGTTGACATAACTGGCAAATAAATACTCTAGAAGATTTTGTAGTGTCAGACCACGAAAAGGGCTTACTATAACACTAATACTATTTAACCATTCCTGAAGGTTTTGAAAATATATAAAAATCAAAATACAAACACTTTTCTTAAATATAACATATCTTTCACCAGTGCTTCTAGTGTGCAGACAACAGAAATATGTCACTTAATATTTGCTTGATAGACAACAAAATTACAAAACAACTAGGACAGCCTCCACCAACAGTAGAACAAACTAATACATGTGGTTACCAAAGTGAATACACCAAGAAAGGAAATTGGAAAATCCCTTTGCCAAAAGTCAACATGCTGACAACAGGTAAACTTCAACAATTCCATTGGTCAAAGACTCACCTGCATTGCTTTGGACATTCTCTGAGTTGAACGAGTAATGGGAGACATGGAATTGTTTTCATCAGCAATTGGAGTAAGAAAACAGTTACTATGATTCAAACTTGTTTGCTTAATATCATAAGGGCCTATAACACTACCAGAAACTCTGGTAAAATATTGGGAAGCTGGAGTACTAGTCACAAGACTATTAATTTGTTCCTTCTGAGGAGTGGTTAGTTTGTTAGTTGCAGTAGCTACACAAGGAGTAAACCCAAGCAACAGCTGGGGAGAAACTGCGGATTGTTCATCAGGTGTCACACACAAAGCAGAATCACTACTCACAGGAGCATCATTCGTATCTTCGTTTCTTGCTTTGCATGCTCCTTTAACAATAGAGTTAGACACACAAGTGGAAGATTCTCCAGCACTTGAAGTGCTGTGCAAAGGAGATGAATTTCCCTTTTCTTGGTAACAATGAATTAAGGACTTCCTTAAAACACCACTATCTGAATTTGGTGAATGTTGTTGAGCTACTTGGTGAGCTAAATTATGAAGAATTGCATCCCTAAGGCTGGTATTTATTGTCTCATTTCTATCATCATTTTCAGGAAAAATGAGTCGATTAGTAAAGGATGTTCTTGATGTCCTTGAAGAATGCCTTAGCCTCAAGACAGCAGAATTAGAATCACATAATGACTGCTGGAGGACTGGCAAATTAGTTATAGAGTCCAATGCCTTGGTAACATCAGACTCTTCATCCATACTACAATGGAAATGCTTTATCTTTGAAGATGGTGTTAAAGGACTCTGAAATTGAATTAAAAACACATTGCATGCAGAATATGTCTCATCATTTGATACAGTTATTTAAAGAAAAATTAACACAATTTTTTCTTCTTCTAAAACTAGCATTACAGATTTTAAGTACACAGAATCAAAAATTGTAATTTATTTTACTAACGCACAATATTTGTTTCTAGTTTTAACTACAATTATTCTGTGTTTATTTTTCCAGACTTCATAGGATGCAGTAGCTTTTTCATGCTTGAGGCAATTTACAAAAAGTGGGATGTGAGCAACTGATGCCAGCTTAGTTAATGGCAGAACCCTTCCTACCTATAAAGCTAATAATCAATACATTTCTGTACTTGATTAATGTTTAAAATTAAGAATGGTTTTGAAACAAATCATGAAATGTAACTCCACAAAACTTTGGTGTACATACAAAATTCTCAGACACAAAATTAAATATTATTTTTTAAAACTTATTTATGACTTTATCCGACACTAAATTCAATGCCAGCAGTTTTTATACACCTACATTCATGAATCCGTTAAAGGTTACATTGAATTATAAACAATGCTCCACTTACAAAACTGTTGCTTTATTTTGAATAAATTAATCTTATAAACTTTAAAAGTATGCCAGAACATACATCAAACTTTTATTTGGGAATAACAAAAAAATATTTTAGGTCCTCTCTCTTTCTGTAATGTATAGTAAAACAAAAAACCTTATTGTTTCTTTCAATTAATCTTAATACTATTCATTTGCAGGAGGATCATCATTTCAAGAATTATATGTATAAGTTTATTAAATACTCATAAATTTTATTAAGACATCTAATGATCTTTACTAATGTAAACTCACTTTATATTAAACAATTAGCATTTAATTTTTCTTTTCAATGACCACTTTCCTCAACAAAATCAAAAATAATATCAATCCAAAAGTATTGTAGATTTTACAGTATTCCCATTAAATTTGATGCAAATGACCCTTTTGGTTTCATAAAAATGGACTAACATCACTATGCACATCTGACAACACACAAACACAACAAAACAAAGCTATGACATACAGTAAAGGCCACAATCACAAAGATTACATATGTAAATGTATTAATTGTGGGGAAGGAACATTCTATGATCCTACCAAAATTGAAACAATTTGTATAAATCTTTATGCAGAAACTTACATTCAATACCTCTTGACTTACAGACCGCAGAGGACCAAAAACATTAGAATGATTAGACGATTTGTGACGCTTCACTCCTTTGTTGAATATATGCCTCTGAAAATCAACATGAAATGAGCATGTCATCAGGCATAATAATAATAATAATAATAATAATAATAATAATAATAATAATAATAATAATAATGTAAAGGTCTTAACAGTAGTTGATATTGTTTAGAAATCAAACCTGTGTGAACATTCCACACTTAACAATATGACCAGCAGGATCTCTGCTTTATACATCTTATAAGTGTGGCACTATGTGCAGGTAAACACTAATACTTCTTAATACTCTGCCAAGTTAGTTGGGAGTTTTAGCACCCTCAAAGGTGAAAACAATCAAAAGCATTATCAATCTTCTGTACATACGTGGTTCAAGTTTCTCATGTTCACAATTTTGTGCAGCAGCACATCTGTAGAAGTTTGAGAGTGCAGTCGATTGCTGCGCACTAAGGTGTACAAAAACTCCCTACTAACAAAAAGCTTAGACCCAAAGGAATTAGGTATACAGAATGTTTCAGAATAGATTTTACAAACTTCTGGGGCGTGTGTGTGTGTGTGTGTGGGGTGNNGGGGGCAGCGGCAAAGGTGATCACTTTTTCATCAATGAATGTTTGGTGGAGAATTTCATTTAACGAAGTTGCTCATGACAGTTGAAACCGATTAGTATGCCACCCAACAAGCATTGGTGGTCAAAAACATAAAAGTCCTTTGACTTCTTAGACTTACATTTTGCTCCTTTATGTTTTTTGGGGTGTTTTCTAAAACCCCTCTTTTACACTTTTCAGAGGACCGATGAAAAAAGTGTAAAATACAGCAAAGTTGAAAAACGACACCATAGGCGAGTACTTTCTTTATTTACTGCAATGGTTACTCTGTTTTCACTTTCTCGCCCTTTGTAAAAAAAGTATAAGCATGTGCCAGAATCTGCGATTTTCATCAGAAAATCTCATATTGACGTGCCCTGGTAATGAAAAAGTGGATAAATCATATTCCTATACATAGTAAATTACTTCCACATGATCTAGCATGAATCCCTGTTTTACAGCAAAATCGATCGACAGCATTTTTTCCAGCTGAAAATGTCTGTTTGCCCATCTGTGGTCAACGCAAGTGTCTAAACCGCCTGCCAATTTTCTCCAAAATTGATATTACTTGATGATCTGAATGAACGCGAGACTTTTGCAATTTCGTTATATCCATATGTAGTAATGCACTACATATTGGAACAGGATCTATCCACTTTTTCAGTATCAGTACGAGTTTTTGAAAAATCGCCGTTTTTTGTCGCAGCATTACATAACTTTCTCAGCACTAGGTATAAAACAACATATAAGGGAGAAATTAAAAAAATCAAATAAATTTTAAATAAAGACGTAAAGGACGGGAAGCACTCTTCATATCAAGTTATAAATTGCGGAAAGAGAATCATTGTAAATATAGGCTTTTCAAAGGGACCAACAAAAAAATTACGTAAAAGGCAAGAAAACGAAAAATGTGGAAACGTAAAAACGGGGTTTTACTGTATTAGTTTTGATCTCTAATAATAAGATCACAGGTGAATAAAATGAAGTGTTATTATTATAAATAAAACAGCTTGCCTATTGAAGAGAGGTGTTGATGAGTGGCATATGAAGCTCCCTTTCACAGTAAAACGATTTTAGACAAACGGCAACTAACTAAATGTTTACAAGTATCTTTTAATTAAACAAATATTGCATTCATAATATTTGTTTTCATTACATATATAAGTAATTTGATAAATTACTATACAACGTCTAAGCATACAGAAAAGCACAATGAAAGAAACTAATCGTCAATAATATTTTCAAATTAAATAAAGATATACAAATTTATTTGTACCTTAATTGAATCCCCAAGACTTTTACTTCTATGATGATGCTTTTGCCTGTATGATTCTTGAAGAGGAGTCCCCTGTCCATTTTCTTTATTGAATTGTTTAATTAACTTCCTTTTTTTGGAGGACTCTGGTAAAGACTGGATATGAGCATACAACTGGGCTAGGGCAACTTCAGTAGGATTACTAGAATTCTCTTGAGCTGAGCGTTCACGATCCACAAAAGTGAATACTGTGTTAGCTGGTGGACCTTCACAAATATTACTGCCCAACTGAAAAAGAAAGCAAATGCAGTTTAATGGCACATTGAGGTCATATAGCTTACCTAGGCTGAAATTTCAATTTCTGTAACATCTGTAAAGAGTCTTCTAGAAATATTTGTAATTATGAATTAAAGCTGAATACATTGGCAATTTCAATATTAATAAAATTCATTAAGAGATCATAAAAATTTCTGATTGAAGAGAAATTAGGAACAATTTTTACTATATTCCTTAACATTAAAACATAAGCTTTTCTTCCAGTAGTTTTTAGCCAGTAATGCTTTTAGGATAAATTACTCAATGCACAAAATGATATTTAAAATATAACATTAATCATTCGTTGACAAGGGAAACAGAAAAGCTTGGTATCCAGAGTAATGTACCTTTCTTCTCCCTGAAACCTTTCTCCTTTCACGTTCTGCCCAATAAACTTGGATGTCAGTGGATAATTTGGGAGGAATTTCAAACAAAAGGTCTCCCTTATGAATCATGAATGCCACGATTCCTGACATAGCTTGAGAATTGGCATGGAAAGCTTCTGGTGTAAGCTGTAAAATACAAAGTTTCTAGAGTAAGTATTGACAACAATCGATGAGATATTAAGATAGTGTAAATTATTTTTGCTTCAGTGCGTAGGGTGCAACATTCATGAATCAATTCATGTCAATGAGGAAAATTATAAAAAGCAAAAATCATTGCTGTTATTATCTTTGAACAAGAGACTGAGAGAGAATTAAAAAACATTTTTACCTTGCGAGGGCACAGCAAATGTGGAGTAAACAATGTAGAGAGATTTTCGGCAGACATTTTATTGCAGCTTTCATAACTTGCTGTAAGATTCAGTAATTTCAATACATCTTGCAATAATATTCTATTCTCTGCAGGTAAAAGTAGAAGTAATAACTGTAGAGAATGCAGTAAGCGAAGTTCATTGCTCTCGCTTTGTCCTGAATTAGATGCTGGCCCACAAAATTCTGGAATAGTACAACAACTTGTAAGCATCCACCATGGCAGAAGTGTGTTATTAACAAATATTTATAGTAGGAAATTACAAAATAAAATGCAATATAAAACATTTTAAAAAATTTTATTAAAAGACTGACTTCCTTCCTTTTAACAAAAATACCAACAAGAAGAGGAGGAAGAGAAAGAAGGCCATGTGAGAGGTCTCAATTGTTTCATTAAATACCAGGAAAATCTAGACACAATGAAAGTTTCGTTTTGAACTGAAAAATACAACAGTTAATTCTGTTATTCATATTAAACATATCAACTGAATTCTCATACATGTGTTACTGCTTATGACACAGCTGACATGCAAGAGGAAGGCTCTAAGGAAGAGGCCTCCAGCCATTAAATATTTGTTATTCAATGCATTATGAAATAGCAATTTTTGTTTGATATTCTTGTTGAGTAAAGAACTGGTATTTTTTATATATATACTATGTAACTGCAGTATTTATGAAGGCTGTTGTTAAAATGTTTAATTTATGGTAGTGTTATTAGAGAGTAGGAGAGCGAGGAAGAGAAGGGAACAGAAGAAAGTGGTTGAGGCGGTCGTGGCCTGCCATTAGAAATAAGTGAATATATTGACCCCTCAAACAAATCCAACACTGAAGTCGGGAACTAAATTGTTAGCTAACACCATCAGGGTGGAGAACTTTGATTTATACAAAATTCAGAAATTAAATCTGGGAGCATAAAATTGACTGTGACAGTTTCTTGACCTGAGGAACTGACAGTGAAACGTTGGATAGTAAATGTGGAGATTGCACAGGGCCTCTTATTATCTCAATCAGAAATAGAATGTGGTGTAGTGGTAATATATAACCTACAGAATGATTGTTGTAGTAAATCCTTCACATGGAATTACATCACACCAACTATTCTAGACTTGCACTATAATTTTAATACCAGGCCTTATTTAAATTCCTTAAGAAAATGGTATATTGATAACAATATTTTCAGAAAGTTACCTGCAATTTGGCAGTAAATTGGATAGTGAGCATCAGTGAGTAAAGGTTCTGGAAGTTCTGCAAGAAAACTCTTCAACACAGATGCACAATCATGAACTGAAAAGTTTCCATTATCTAGGTCAAGAGATACACCTTTATTCAACAATGCCTTCAATTCTTGTTGCCTTGTCAGTTTTCCAGTTCTGCGAAACAGCCCTTCCTGACAGATACCTGAAAGGAAAGTAATAAAATGCAATAAAAAGAAATAATCAAACTCTAAAGACTAAAATAAGATGAAATGTCATACAGGGGAGAATTCAAGTGGGCCACAGAGGTCCCACCCATGCCAACCTTCTACCTAATTTTACTTTATTTACTCCACATACTAATTACCATATATAGATCTCATCACATCTAAAACAGAGGTCTCTGTTTGAATAAAGTCGAACATATTTTATTTCAAGCTAAAAAAATATTCATGATTGATTGTTTAATTTGTCTCCATTTGATATTATACTTAATTCACATTATTCCTATTCTAAATGTTCAAAAGAAATATTTCACTATGGTACTGATCTTATAAATTATTTTTAAACTTAAAACTCACCCTCGCGTAAAAAAGCTAAATTAAAGACAGACCACTTTACTTTCCCAGGTTTCTTCCTTGCACTCAAATCTATATATAAATAAAAAATGGAATGCGCATATGACGGTCACATGTAGATGCAAAAACTTCAATTTCAGTGAAATTTTGACAATTTGATCTTATTAGTATTGTGAGAAGAGGGGTTTGAATTAAATCCCATATGTGGGGGTGTGGTTTTTGCAAAGTTAATTGACAAGGTGGGCTCTACATCTTTCCCTGGCTTGAAGTGTGATCTATGGTTGTCTTTTTGAACTACTCACCTCAGTTCAACTCATATCAAATAGCATAGAAGTTGCAATCTAAAAAATAAGAAGTGTGAGCCAAATGCTGGGATACACAACATTATTTGAATATTTAATTTTTAAAATGTAATATATGAGTTGTTAACACATAGTGAAAGTATAGTTAATTCATAGCTAATCTTCATTGAATAAATTAATTTACCACTTTAATTGTATTTATTTAAAATACCACAATAGTGAATCATTACTGGGTATGCTAGTATTAAAAATCAATACATACTATGAAATCCTGCAAAAATTTGGGTTCTCTCTCTCTTAGTAATTTTTCTTGTAACGATAGATCAACTAAGTACCGAGGGTATGACTATCATAATTAATTATCAGCTAATGCTCTTCAATCCAATATTTTTATTCATAGTTACGTTGAAGAGAGTTGGTTTGATTTAGGTTTGAGGCGAAAAGGTAGAAGGCAATTTCTACTGATGTTTCCTCTCAACTGAACTATAATAGTATTGTAGTAAAATTTCTAGGCCAATGACCCCATCTCGATCAGGTTTGTTTAGTTTCCCTGTTCCCTTGATCAAATGCTGAGATGGCCCCTTGTTTGCTCCGTTACAGTAATGTAACTTCACCCTCTCTACCCAAGACATCATATTGACTCTTCATACACGATTGTAATTGTATATGTGACTCAATAAATATTATTATTAATAATAATTATAGCAACATTGGACTGACACACACAAAAAAATAACAATACTGTTGCAGGCTTTCACTTCAAAGTTTTAAAAACATTTAAAATAAAATATTCATAATCTATAATTCAACATGCACAAAGAAAACAAATACTTAAGACTAAGAAAATAAAATACAACTTACTAGATTCTTTGGTTAAATACTCAATGAGCTGATATGCTTGACATATGCCCTCCTGGGTTAGAGGAGCACCTTCCATAACACCTTTCGTCAAACATTTTGTTTTTTTCCCAAACACCCATTTTGATGGACGAAATTTGTTTTTCTCTGCGCATTCATAACTGAAACATTGGCAAACAAACAACTTAACGTTAATGTGCACTGGTTCATCAGAAATAATGCAAAGAGATACAGTAAAACATATATTGCATTCATTTCAGTAATATTCTTCTAATGGACATCATGATGTAATTTAAATACATTATTTCAGTCCTCAGAATTTCAAACATATTTTATATACATAAAAAAACAACAAAAAACTCTTACTCATCTGTATTTAAATCCAAAACAAACGAGAGATGCATTCGAACCAAAGTAAGGAATTGTTCTGGATCCTCAAGACGTAATTTGTCTGCTAATTTATTTTTCAATGTTCCAGTAGCCATGTTCCAAATTTGCATGAACAATATTATGTTTCACAAACTAAATAATTATGTTCCAAATAATGAAACATTAACAGTAAATAAAGTTTAAATCATCTTCCGTTCCTGCTCGTTATGGTATTCGCAAATGCTATTGCCAAGCAATTATCACGTAATTAAACGACAGGATCGTTGTAACTTTAAGTTTCTGTCTCCTAGGAGCATACTGAAAAAGAAGCATAATATATTATGCTACTGTTCATCAGCACGATCATCACAAGTATCATAACAAATGCATCCTTTCAACGAAGCAAAACGGTCGAACGCGCACATAGTTCTCTATCATTGGAAGCTGGAATCTGCATTTCCAGTTAGAGTAGACACCCAAATATCAGAAAACAGATACATGTTTATAATAATATTTCACAAAACATTATTTCCTTCAATCTAATTCCGTTCAACGAACGCGAAACGTTCATTACACCACGCCTTCACAATTCAAAACTTAATGACTACACAGTTATGCCAACATTCCGGTACGTCGTACAGATGCAGCGAGATTTGTTCTTTAAACAGTAGAACGTACACATACAATACATTGTACGGAGCAGTATACATACGGATTCTTTCACGGATATCAAATTCTGCTATTGGTAACACTTGAACAATGAAAGATGAAAACCGTCGCATCCGCGGATCAGTTGAGTGCAGTTTAGTAGATCAGCTAGACGTGCCACACACAAATGGCACAAACTTTCTCATACTATTTAGTTTTCTAATTATGTTGGTCTGAGCTAGTTTTTCGGTTTTGTTCCATCCCCTTGCCAGCTGCCATCTATAGCCGCCCAAAGTACATAAAAAGAAATTATCAATTTTTGAGTTTCCAAATGGTAGAACCGAAATTTTACTTTCAGAATACTTCGGAGAAAGAAGAGTAAAACTTCGTCCTAAAGGGGAAAATTTGAAGTAATTTTTAAGAAAATGCCATTTACTTATTACTGTAAATACGAAATTTAAAGATCATTTCCAAAGAAAGATTTTGAGTTTCGAAAAACTTCATAGGAACTCATTTGAAGCACTTTCACTCATAGGCCCAGGTGATAATATAGGTGTGGTGGATGGCTATACCCACACGAAAAATTGCGAGTGGGTCAAATACCCATTCGGATTTGGGTTGAGAGAAATATATCCATAAACATGCACGTGCTTTAAATAATGCCATATGAAGTTTCTCCAAAACTCAAGAGATTTCTGTAAAAATGAGCTCAAAATTCCTGATTTTCCGCAACGTTCAAACTCCCATTTTCTCAAAAACGGTTCCAAATTTGCTTTTTAAAACTTTTCCTACAGCTCGTGCTATTTGCACTTATTAACATGAATTTTGCGGTATTATTTTGTTTTTTCTAAAATTAAGCAAATGTATTTTTTAATGTCACTCACGCCGATAACCTGCACATTTCCAGCGATTTGTATACATTATTACATTTGTGAGTGGATGTGTCTCAAACGACTGGGCCTTTAAGGCAATTTCACAATGCAAACATAAGCATGACGTTAACATAAAAGTTTAGGACTACGTTCATAAGCGGACTCATTCACAATGCGTTCACATAAGCATAACACGTAAGGCGTCAACTTAGAAGCTTGCAAGCTTCTGTGCTTATGCTTAAGTATGACATAAGAAATGAACCAATCACAGAATGGTAACCTAAAATCGAGTATCGAAATTGGAGAGAAGTCACTAACGCCATATGAGCCATGGACACAGTCGATAACTTGAAATCAATTCTCACATCCAATAGAAACTCTTATTTGGCTTACGTTTATGTTAGGCATTGTGAATACTTCAATCACTTATATTAATGTTTGTCTATGCGCTATGCTTATGTTTGTTTGCATTGTGAATGGGCGTTAATAGTGCAAGCCGCCACTGTACGAAACCACAGTATACTACGACAAAAGTCTTTCCCTTTGGAACTTCTCGATTGGTCAATTTTCATCGCGGCACTTGAACCATTCTTTAATATCTGACAGCCCACTTTGATATTAAATACTTATCATCTTGCTTTTGCAGCAAGATAACGCCTTTTTTTATTTCTTTATTTTATGTCAAAACAGTTAAAAATTGTGTGTAAAGTGTTACGGGGAGACGTGAATCGTGTGCACGTTTTCATAATTCTGTATTCTAATTTTGTTTATCAGCATTGCAAGAAATCGTTCATAAAAGAGCATTTTACAGCACAAATGACGACGGATTTGCATTTTACGGCACGAATGATTATTTACCTTTTCTAGTAAACATAAAATAAAAATAGAAATCTATGAAAACAAAACAAAAACCAATGAAAAAAAAATATGTAAAAAACTATGAAATTTGTTTTATTTATATTGAGTTGTCGGTTGTAAATTAAGATTGGAATTTTGGGAAACTGTAGAGAATTTACAGGGTTACAATTTATATATAGGCCTCTTTATGATCTGTCAGAACATGAGATATTAAAATAAAAAAAGATGAGAAAAAGTAACTTTTTTCCTTTTCCTTCTTTTTTGTTGTTTATAAAGGGCTAAAATTAGATATAGTGAACAGAAAGCAAATGTCATTTTAAACATTCTCTCGTTTTTTCCTTAATGTTCCATAACGTGGCCAATAGGGTGGTCAAAAAAGTCTGCATCCACTACATTGATATTAACTTGTGCCCCACTCAAATTGAAGTTTAAATGGAGTTTAATATAGGTTCTGAACACTTACAGATATGTCGTCCCGCAATTTTTTCACACAATTCAATCTTGAGACAAAGGGGGTAGTAGATAGACAAACCTGCCTCCCCTATAGGTTAAAATTTTTTTAACATTATGCTGATGAAAATTGACTTTAATTATCCCTGCAATTTTCTATATATGATATAGATGTTTTGAGAATTTTTTCAGGCATTTAACCCTTAATCTTAAAAAAAAATAATTCTTTCTTCCTTTGTTTTTTAAGAATATTTCATGTTCTTATACAGGTCATAAAATGGGCTCAATATACATTTTAGCCCTGTAAATTCTCTACAGTTGTCCCAAAATGTCTACCTTTAATATTATAATTTGCACCCGACAAATCAATATAAATAAAACAGTAATTTAATATTTTCTTAAAATAAGGTTTAATTTTATTTTTTAATTATAATAAAAAAGGTTTTTTGATAAAACCTATCCAAAATTTTTGTTTATTAACAAATTTTCATTGTAGAGGATGCACTACATTAAATTCAAAAATTTATTTTCTTGTGGACCACCTTAGTGGCCACCCTGTGGTACCCTACAGCATACTTCCTCATTAAGACAATTCCAATTGTTTATACAAAAGTCAAATGGATAAAGCAGTCTTCTTGGGCACTCAAAAGAACAAATTGCAAAAATGGAATGAAACTTAACCCTTGGCAAGGAGGAGTTTGAACAATAATAATTCATTTAATAGAAAATATTTATTTTGGAAAGATTTTAGCAGCTGCAATGATATATAACCATTTAAGCAGGTAGCATAAAATTTTCAGTATTCTTTTGAATACTGAAAATTTATAAGTATTACATTTGGTACAATGTGAAGTATCTACAAAAATTCATTAACAGTATGAAGTTAGAAAGCATTAAGCATTTTACTAACAATTAAAACAGAAACATTTTTTCTTAAAAGTCAAATAATTTTGTTTAATTACAAACTTATAATCTTTGTATTAATTGGTATTAGACATAAAAACACTATATTAGTCTTAAAGCTGCTTTTGGACATTGTATTGCAGTTAGAACATTCAATTGGGGTATGTGATATATTAAACACATCAGCCCATTTTTTTCATACAACTAAAAACATCTTTTCCTGCAAGAAACGTATAAAAGAGTAGGCTTTTAGATTTTCAACTACCATTTGTGCAGAATTATTAGGAGATTTTAGGAATTTTAGTAGGTACCCTAGAAGATCATTCTTGTATTCCTGAATATTTCCTGCAAACACTTTATGTAAAACGTTCATCGTTTAGATTCTTCATGAATATACAAAGTAAGAAAACTATCACAAATTTCATATTACTTTTTTATTCCTGTCACAACTTTAGGCACAGGGATATTCATGAGGCCACACAGGCTGTTTCGAATTGGCTTTACATTAGCTACTTCATCTTCCCAATCTGTTTCACTAAGTACTGTCATGACTTCATCCAAATTCTCTTCTGGAATTATAGACTCATCTCCATAAAGCAGAAGTGATTCGTACAGTTTTGCTGCAGTTGCTCTTCTAACGGTCAAATAGTAGGAACAAAGGAAGATGCTCAACTGTACTAATGCACCTTTTGACACAGGACCTTTGACCTAAAACATAAATTATTACAATGAATCACTAAAAATATAGAAACTAATTCATACAATGTAGGCTTTCACGGCCGGTTTCCATATCAAAATCAGTTGTTTCCGGGCTTGAAGGCCG